TCCTGTCTTTTTACATGTTCACACCATTGCAACATATTTTTAGACAATTTCTTTGCGATGAGTGCAACCTTCATATGATGATATTATCAGTTGCAAAACATTTTATTTTCCGTTACATATTTTAAAGATAAAAATATAAGGGCATTTACGACGTACTTTATATGAACTGCAAATTACATTATTTAATTATTTAATAAGTACTAAACTAATTTATTTTCTATTAGTTTCTAAGAAGCCAACGGCTCCTTTTCAAATTCCACTTAGCATATATAATTAAGTTGTAATTTGAAACTTAAATACTTGCGACTTACAGGAATCGATTTTGTCAAAGATTTATACATTTAAATATATATTTCAAACAGTGTTTTTTTTTGTTTTTTTTTTGCTATATTCATATGTATAATGCATCGCCGTATGGTCCTGGTATAAAATAGGCCACCCCTACTTTCCCGTGGCTGTCGTAAGAGACGACTAAGGAAAGGAGGGGGACGAACAGCAGCGTACCTCTTATACCATCTCCAAAGCCTAACTGCCAATCCGCCTGTTAAGCGTGGCAACTACTGGCAAATCTCCCCAGGTGGGAGGCTTATGTTAAACAGTGGACAATTAAAGGCTGATATGATGAACTATTGAGTCTCTTGTGGGTTCCTCTGAGTAGACATCAACATTGCGAACTCAGTGCAGCGTGAGAATTATTAAAAGGCGTAAATATAAAAAACAAGCTTGTTGCTATGTTATTATTTAAATAATAAAAGACCTTGTAAACATAAAAATAAAGATGATTTTATTCTAAAGGGAATTGAATTATTTTTTAATTTCTGTTTTTTTTTATACTTACAACTTAAAAAGACAAACAAGCTGACAACTCCATAGGTTACTCTTTTTATGTACAAAATGATGTAACATTTGTATGATTCTGACATTTAGTATAAATTAGTAGTCTTTTTTTACGTTGCATACCGCATATACCTGATCCTAGATCACCTTATCTCTATGCATTATGCAACTGACAGTTCACTGACCTAATTTGTGGAGGCAAGTTAAAACGTCTGTTCAACCGAGATGAATCATCGTTTACAACCATACTTCTCGCCGTGAATGAACCTGACGTTGTTCGAGGGTACTCTAGCTCGTGTTATTACTATATTAACATTGTAATTAGTCAGTAGTAGAGATGGGTAATATCCGATATCTATATATTTAATTTTTGTGAACATTGATGACCATTTATTGCGGTATCGCTCATACCAGTCGGATGTCTATAATCATTACGAGCTGATTCTTCTTTTCTATATTCTAAATTTGATATCTAATATATCTATTATTAGGCCAATATATGTATAGATATTGTAACTACAATATATAGATATTACTAGATTTTACCCACCCTTAGTCAATAAGTAGTTTCTTGAATAATTGAAATTAGATTATTTCCCATTGATAAACAACTACAACTGATAACTAACAAGAAATAAATGTAAAGTTATTGCGTCGTCATCATCATCATTATATTAGCTTTTAACTGTCCACTGTTGAACATAGGCCTCTCCCAAGGGAGGTGTTGCCAGTAGTTGCCACGCTTGGCAACCGGATTGACAATCACAGTTAGGCTTTTGAGATGTTATAAGAGGGACTACGCCCTCGCTGAGTCGCCCCTTATGACACCCACGGGAAAAGAAGGGGGTCCTATTGTATGCCGGAACCACACGGGAAGTTCCATACTAATTAGCAAATAAAGGTTAAAATAAAGATAATAGAAATTGTGGGACGACACATTACGATTTAGTACGTATATACATATATATATGAACTGTGAGATGAACATTTTCTCCTTTTATATAGTAGAGATATGATACCTAGATGAAGAAGACAAACACAGGTGTTACGGAAGCGTATTGACTGAACCAATCACTAACATTATCGCCATATACGATCCGTTACTAATCTATTATCATACGTTGTATCATTATTATTCGCAGCGATGTTTAAACAAGAGAATTCTTCGAAAATATTCGTATGCGCCCCATACAATACCTTTTCGTTTTCCTTGTCTTTCCTGTTCGCGGAATAATTATTGAGATAATGTGAATTAATCTATTAATTATATACTAGTACAGAAGTATTAGAAAATTACATTAACATTGTAATTAGTGATGGAAATTAGTAGAAAAATGGTTTTTAAATTTAGAAACTAGAAAACCGTATTGCACAATTTAAAAACTCATTGTCCTTTTTCATTTAAGGTCAATGGAAATGTAGTGTAATTCCTTCAGTTAGGATATGGTCTATGTATTTTTTTTTTTACATCTATACATGTTTGGATTGAAAGAGTATCTTTACGTCATCCTGAGTGACACTGACTATATATTTCTTTAAATAGGTCAATTTTGGCAGAGCGGTCGTGTGCTTTTTTTATTTGCGGTATAAAATGTAGTTTCTTTTAGGTAAGAGAAAATAAAGCAAAAATTCCTTTACTTCAAATTCATATATCTTAATTGAGTAACAAATAAACATTTTTATTTTAACAAACTTTTAACATTTTGTTAACAAATTTAATCTACTAGAAAATATAAACGATAGATGCGGGCAAAATCGCGTGATACTACTAGTTTAAATCATTAGTAGTAAGTAGTGTTATCTATCCACGAATCGGTAATGGCTCCAGCTCATAATTGTGCTATTATTATAACACTGGGTTATTACCCAATCCACTCAACTGGAGCGTCCGTAACACGATAATGGTTAGAGTATAAAATGTGTTTGTTATTTTTACCAAGATCAATAACAAAAGACTCTCCCTAATATTTGGAATGATATAAATGATACTGGAAGTGCTGAAGTATTTTTTTTTTATTTTATTTTATTAACATTAAGTATAAAGTAATATTAAGTATTGTTCGAATTGGAAGATCTTATAACATACTGTGAAGATATTTACGTATTTATTTGACTCTTTATTGCACCTAATGTATTTATTTATAGGAACACCAACAGCATATTGCATTATGACGTATATAACAAACATTAAGTACACATGCCTATTAAAGGTTTACTTTTACATTTACATTTACTTTAACATAATTTTATAGTATGAAATAAAATAAACAATTTTAAGGAATTAAGTAAGACTTACTATTTTAATGTAAAAAAATATATAGTACCATTTAGAAAATTCTATTAATATACAATAGAATAGAGTATAGATCACAAAATATTACATTTTATGTAAATAATTTCAGATATACTATTTATTGGAGAATTTTGTTGAAGAGTTTTAAAATGAAATACAATTCCGCATTGTCCTTTTTTATTTTTTAATTTCTACCTCAGACTTTTATATGAAAAACATACTTCTCTAACTTTATATAAGTTATATGTGTAACATTATTCTAGAGTCGTGAAAAAAGTATTCATATACTATATATTATTAAAAATATTACAGTTTGTATTATATTAAATCTTAATATTTTTTTATTTTAAATTTAGAACTGAACATACACAAATTTCTTTTTTTAAATTAAATTTTGAATTTAAAAGAAGAATTTTGAATTAGGTAGACCGTCTACAAGATCATCTTCCATTCACTCTATATCTGCGTTATTCCCCACCGTACCTGCTGTTTTTTGTCAAACCCAAGCACTGTTTGGACATGGAACAATCCGTGAAACAATAGTTATTTTCTTTTCTTAACTCGGCTCTAATTTAAATTCCTTTTTGACGAGGCGCATTTGATGTTAATCGGTAACAATTTTTTTACTGGATCTCTAATTATAGGCGTGATTTATTAACTCACATATAGATTATGTAAACCATCCATTTTTAATGATTCTTCCTCACACATTTTCCTTTATTTTTTAAATATTTCACACTCGAGAGAAGATTTTCTGATAAGAAATGTGAACCAGGAACTACCGTACTAATAATTGACCTGTAAATACATCTAATTGTCTATTTATAGATTTATAATAATATTATAGCATATGAAGTCCACATCATGGATCTAGATATGGTAAAAGGTATATATTTATATCGTCATCATATCAGGCGTTGACTGTCCACTGTTGAACATAGGCCTCCCCCATAAGGGGGGTTTGCCAGTCGGTTGGCAGGCGGGGGGCAACCACAGTTAAAACGCTGCTGCCCATCCCTATTGGCCACTCCTATATTTATATATGATGTGGAAATAGAAGCATGCATATATTAGTAGTTTATGTACTTACATGTAGTCTAGTCCTAGACTAATATCATGCTCAAATAGATCGTATACTGTTAAAATAACTTTAAGTATATAAATAAACGAAGTGAACGATTTTTTAGAAGAGTTTCAGATGAGAACGATGCTATTGTCGGATACGACAATATATCATGCTCATTAAATTCTCAACCAATTATATTTGTGACATGTGTCTAATTATACAGATCGTCGTCACTGTTATCTCTATCTCTTGCCATATGAAAAAACACGGAACTCAAATTAGCTATGATACCTGATTTAAACAAATCGATGGCTTTTTTTATTAATTTATTTATTTTATGGGGTTATAATGAAATGGTAATCCAGCCTGCTATCGATATATGATAGCGGACCACCAGTGCAAGATGATATGGTGAAAATGAAAGCAGGTCAGTTAGCCCATCGTGAAGAATTCAAATCACGATAGTGTCCAGGGGCTAATCACGTGGAAGTCGACCTGACAGGGTATATTGCTACCAATGGGACCTCTAGTCCCCATTACTAACAATCCCATTCCCTCCAATCGATAGCTTAGTTAGTATATGCTAATTACACATCAGTTAATTTTACAAGAGAACCGTTTATAGATTTAAATTCACATATTATTACTATAAAGCTAGGTTAAGAGACAAATTTATAGCATAAAGATAAGAACGGGCAATAGGAGATTTAGATGGATATTAGAAATTTTGCTATTTTTATAAATATAAAGTAAACTAAGTCCATATAACTGTTATCACTAATAGTATTTATTTCTTTGTTACAGTTGGCTTCCTTATCCTCGTTTTCTACTTATGGGGTTCACCATACGAACGAGGGTTCTTTTGTGATGATGAATCACTCAAACACCCCTACAGAGAGTCAACAGTCACAAATGTAATGCTGTACATCGTGGGAATCGGACTGCCAGTGGTTGCTGTAAGTAATGTATCGATTATGATAATCAAGCTTTTTTTTATACAACTTAGAATAGCAAACAAGCTGACAAATCACTTGATGGAAAGTGGTAACCGTTGCCTATAGACATGAGCAGTACCATGAACATAGCAGAGTGTACTGTTTCGCCCATGATACTTTCCATGCGTTGCCATTCCTGAAGACTTAGGTGTTATTCCTCTGTACCCTGTAAATTCACTGCTATATCCCACCCTTCAAACCGAAAAACAGCCATGCAATCACAGCTGTTTCACGGTAGAAACACGAATGGGACAGAGGTGCTCAAGCAAACGACTTTTGTACAAAGTCTCACTCTGGTTAAGCTTCCTTGATAAAAGACAGTTACCATACCTAAAGGTTGGCTGCAATACTAGAAGTGCCCCGTTCGAGATATTCACTCAAAAGAAACCTGTAACTCTCTTTTTGAAGAATTCCTTACCAGTCTTGTAGAGTAAGCAACAGAGATAGATTTATTAAGTTGTTTATCAGGGCAGCCAACTGTATGGAAAAAAAATCCTGTCTTCATTTGGCAGCAATCATGTGCCATGATATGTTACTGCATAGGTAGAAGCACTGAAAGCTTCTACCTATGCAGTAACATATCAAGCTCTAAAAAACTACAAAGATAAAATCTAGACAAGAGATCATGTAGACAAAAAGACTTTGAAAATCATGAGTTGGAATTTAGCCAATACTGAAACTAATATTATGTACTTACGTACGTATCTATTTGAATTCCAAGCAACTCTATCAGTAATAGTAAAGTCGTGGACAATATTTCGTAGACTTAAACATTTAACGATAACATCCAAGTGAGTTTAAATAGTTAAAATTATATTTACTTTTTAAAGCAAAGCTAAGCTGACCTTAAAAGGTCCACATATCATGTGATGTCACTGACCGAAAACATATTGAGTGTGAAATCTTACATGAAAATCAAAGTGTTAAATCGTAAACAAATATTGGTGGAGTGGACATCGATTACTATGTTTGCTGTCCCATAAATGTTCCCGACCATATTGCAAATGTTTACTTTTATCCATAAACTATAGTTTTCGTTTCAAACAAAACACCAGACTTGACTGTACATGAAACCTTATCTCTTCCAGTAAAAGATTGACTACACTTATTTGATTTTGACGTGAAATATTAATTTCGATGAAACAATTTTTATTTTCCTTTAATAAACACTGAAAAGGACAATATAGCTCTGCATAAATAGATATTAGATCAAATAATGTTCTCACAATTTTAAAACACGTTGATATTGTGATTGGCTATTTGATAATACAATGTCAAATTTCAATATCAGTTTTTATAATATGTCTGGACTATTTAAGTTTTCTATTTTATCTTGGGTCTTAGGGTGTAGCTTTTATACTATTTACAAGTGTCAGTCATTGCGTATTTTCCCTACAATAAAATTGCTTATCCTTGAGAGAGAAACATACATATAGCAACGCACTAGCAACTCGTAAATGTATATGAGTGATATTTATCATTTGGTATAAAATATATAAGACAAGAATCAAGAAAGAAAAAACTGTTTCTTAACGAAATAGCCTTCTCAGGTAACAGACCCCGACTTTGGTCATTATTACAACTTTAACTCTTTTAGCTTATCAATTAACACGATCGGTTTAATTTTCATAGATAACTTTAGTTTAAACCAACCTTATAGATGTTACATTTTCCCACGAAAAAGTCTTTATCGATTGAATTGAATAAATTATTAAGATAACTATAATGTATTTATATTTGAAGTGGGTAGTTCTGACGTCAAATGAATGTGACTATAAGAAATTAGAAGTTGTTGAACTTGAATTGACGGGTTTTAAGATTCATTGATTTGATCATTGAGCTTGTTAGTTGGGCTACCAGCAAAAAATAAAAGGAATGTTGGGATTCTCATCGAAAAATGTAACTACAGATCAAGTTGATGATATTTTAAGAGAGTTCAGGAATATCGTTTTGTATACGTACTCATATACGAGTATGTCCCAATTTATAAAAATTCATAAAATGCTTAAAATACAATAAATATTTAATATTTTATCTTTAATAGAAGTAAAGATTATTTAAAAATATATCTCACATTTTCGCATGTTTGTCTGTCGACACTTGTACAGGGCATACGTATGTAGAGAAGCAAGTGGCACACATTGGCTTATAAAAGTTTCAATATGTATTTCATCTTGACTACTGACCTTGTGTCCATTTACATTTCCTGACGTCCGTTACACAGCGGATCCTATCGAAACGTGATCCTTTTTGGATCATTCGATTTTAGGATCGATTTTTTTTTATATTTCTTATGAACATTATACTTGTATTATAACAACGCACTGGTTAGATTAAAATTTATAACAAGATGCGTTAATTTTTTCAAGTTATTGATTGACTGTATTGTGGATACATAATCGGTTTGGATACGGGGAATTTTTCCACTTGAATTAAGATAAAAAGTTTACCTTACTTTAATAGTTATGCGTACAAAATTATTTTCAAACTCTTTTGGCGGTTTAAGTTTGTCTGAGTAATAAACATCCAAATATAATTACCGTAATGATATTTTATTTTTCGTTAAGACAGGAAAAACAAATATTGTCAAAATTTCATTGCATGCATTTGATTTTTAATTATTAAGATCCTATAAAACCTGTTAAAAACATTCCACGTTAATTAATGATGACAAGTCCCGTTGGTTTTATCAAGTTAGTTTGGCCGTCAAGTAAATTTTTAAAATCCTAAACATAATTTGTTTAGATCAACTTTTCAACTCAACGTCCTTCTGACCTACTTTTTATACGTTCTAGCAGCAAGTATTTTTCCATTTCAGTATTCATTCCGATACCTTTTGCAGTAATGTTGAATATTACGACTTTATCTTCATCCTCATTACCATGCCACACCGGTTATGTAAATTTTATATCGGTTAATGCTGTTTATGTCATATTTGCAACTATCTTCGATCAAAGAGACAAGTTAATAGAATTGCATTCAAATCTAATATGAATAATGCTAATTTTTTATTGGATTAGACACGGTACGTAACTTTTAGGCTCTGCTAGTAGAAAGGTACATTAAAATATAAAACGGACTTAAAGATAGATATCGATAGAAACAATTTTGTTCAATTATTTCTTAAACGAGAATGAAATAATAATATATTTTCGGGTATAATGAATCTATGTGAGTAAATACGTAAATTGAGATATGATAAAAGATGCATTAACAAGATTATGTAAGAAATAACGCTATTGCACAGCTATTAGGCTAAAGAAACTGACAGAATACGCTAGTTCCATACTTTTGCATATAATGCATGTAATTTTATTATTTTCCATTGCAAATATAACGTACTTATTTTTCTATAATTAAATAATTGTTGTTTAAATATCGTAATATCATCTAGATATGCTGCTTCTGACTTATTAACTCGTAATTATTCAATTGCCAGTGACATTAAGTCACGCTTTCATCACAACGATTTCTTATAAAAACGTAATGTGTAAGATTATCTTACTCATGTCAAGCCAGAAGCATATCTAACACAGACCAGTACATCGACAATTAAACAATTAAGTAGCAATTGAAAAGTATTTAGAGTGAAAAAAATAGAAAGAATAATTATTGCTGCACAACCGTTATTCTTGTGCCAATCTTTGTCTCATTGAAGACCTCTTTTATTTTCCTGGTCGTCACAATCTTTCTATAGAGACGCTACAGGGATTTCTTTATAATGTCTACTGACCTACAATGCCTTGATTTGACAAGGAAAGTTTCCAAACTTCCTTATTTCTGTTATCTCTCTCCATTCTTTTATCACTTGCGTTGGAAGTTACTGCTGATTCTAAAACAGTTTGAGATTAATGGTCTTCTATTAATAATGTAAATTCATCATTATCAGATTTAGTTTTTGGTGTAGTTTAGTGGAAGCATAGGTACTCTTTCTCAGTCTCAATTATGTAAAATTGGCTTCTAGTACTAATAAATTTTTAAAGCTATGTGAAATATTATGCTTATAAATAGTATAATATAATATTAGAATTACTAAACAATAATAAAATAAACATATTTGCGTATTCACGTAATATTTTGCATTTACTTTGACCTTGACCGACAAGATCACCCCTTGTGTTGGCATTTTGCCTAACATTGTTTTAATATTTTATCGCTCAATAGTGTATATGACGCCCGATACTTAGTTTATTATACGTAAAGTGAATGTTTAGACTGCTGAAAGAATGATTACAAATTCCGTAATTAGCTACAGTCATCTTCTAAGTAGGTATTAAATGTTTTTATCATATTGAAAAAGACTAGGAAAATGATTTTGTTATTTTTATTGCCATGTTGTCCTTGCATAAAATACTGCCAAGCGTAGCAACTACTGGCAAAACCCCCCAATACACTTGTGGAAGACTTCTCATATATTTTTTTGTTAAATATTTTCCATGTACGAACATCATCTGGGTACCATTTTGTTTAGTAACATTTTAATGTTTTAATAATGTTTAAAAATTTACAATTTCTATAAATATTTGCATATCAACTATATATATATAGTTGATATGCAAATATAACTAAAACAAATATAACTACCATATTATCCTGTCATGCTAATTATAAACAATGGAATTGTTGCTCCCACTTGATGCACCGTTCCGATAATGCTATATTTAAACTTTTACCTTAAAATATTGTGACCCTGGCTCGTAAACATTCGGAAATAGCGTATGCCGGTATTGTTCTAAATATAGCTTAGTCAATATGCGGGCACACTATCATCTATTCCTGTACGTGATGACTTGAATTATTCATTACTGACTAAACGGGGGGAGAAGGATTTTTTTTAGTAATGCGGTTGTTAATCTCCATTGCTAGCAATATACCCTGTCAGGTCGACCTCCACGCAGTTCCCGCTGGAAACCAACGTGGTTAATTAAACAAATTTGTCGCGATGGACCAACAAGCCTGAC